TACAGGGTAAAAATGGGAGTTCATAATCCGCTTGAATCAAATGTATGAAATATGGTATGTCAAGAGCTTTGTAATGTTTTGAACAACTAATAATAAAACAAATTTTAAAAAAAGAAAGAAAAATAAAGTTAGAACAATAAATATTCATCCTTTTACATCAAAAAAAAGGGAAGTGGCAAGGGATTAGCAAGGGGGTGGAATGTGATGGACATCATTATCCAAAGTACATGAATGAAGACACAAATTGGGTGTCAACCTACTTTATATACAGAGATATGAAAAATTGTGGTAATATGTGTAATAAGAACTGTAATGCAAAAAAAMCACAAAGTACATGTATAAAAACAGAAATTGGCGTGAACATACTTTATATACAAAAAATATACTCTATGTGTGTAATAAGAATTGTAATGCATTCCGCTGTCGTGTATTTAAAAAATAAAATCAATTAAATAATAAAAAGAAAAGAAAAATGGGAAAATTCACAAATGTATAAAATTAAACATCCATTGAGTCAAAGAAAACTCAAAAGAGAAATAAGTAAAAATTTTAGACAAATGGAAATGAAAACACAATATACCAAAATGTATTGGCTCTAGAAAAAGTAGTTGAAATAGTTTGAATGACAATTCCAAAACTCACATGGAAATGTAATCTCTAAATTCATGTTGATAATATTTGAAGGTGGAGCAAAAGGGAGGTAACTGGGATTACATAGGATCATCAGGGTATACCCACATATTAGAATCTGTGACTTTATAAGAAGAGGAAGAGAGACTGAGCTGACCATGTTTTCATTGTCTTGCCATGTGGTACCTTTTTCTATGTCTTCTGGAGCATGAAGGCTGCCATAAGATGTGGATACTATCCTCTGGGCTTTTCAGCTTTCTGAACAATGAGCTAAAAATTCTCTCTCATTTATGTATCACCAGGTCTCAGACAGATTTTATACAAATAGAAAACAAACTGAGACAGTAGTACTAACAGACATATATAATAATGAACAACATTTTAAAAGAAAAGAAATATCCCAAGTATATATCCTAACTTTACATCTCAGGAAATTAGAAAAAAGAGTAAACTAAGTACAAAGTTAGAAGAAAAAAATAAAATAATAAAAATTAGAGAAAAATAAATGGAATAGAGAGAAGAAATGCAATAGGAAAAATTAACAAGGGGGTTGGAGTTGTGACTTCCAATGGAGCGCTTGCCTTGCACATGTGAGGCACTAAGTTCAATCCTCAGCACCACATTAAAAAAAAAAAAAAAAACTAACAAAATAAAGTTATTGTGTCTACAAGTAACAAAATATTTTTAAAAATTAACAAAATGAAGAGTTTTTTAGAAAGGTAAAATTGACAAACCCTTACCAGGACTAAGAAAAAAGAAAAAGGATTCAAATAAATACAAACATAAATGAAAGAGCATACAATATAGGTGAAGCCATGGAAATGAAAAAGATCAGAATGGACTATAATGAAGAATTGCATGCCAACAATTGAATAACTGGAAGAAACAGTACATTTCTAAAAACATGGGCATATTTCTATAAATTTAACAAGGATACAATTAAAAATAAATAGAAAGCCTAGACATAGAAATAACAAATAAGGAGACTGAATCAGTAACCAGAAACAAAGAAAGTCCCCATACCAGAGGCCTTTACAGGCAGATTCTACCAAACATTTAAAAAAGAATAATGCCAGTCCTTCTTAAATGTTTCCAAAAAATATAAGAGAGAACACTTCCAGATTAATTTTATGAAGCCAACAACCTAAGCCAGACAAAGGAAAAATCAAAGGAAACAAAATGAAAATAAAATATAAAAAATATATAAAAACCACTAGCCAACATTTCCAATGAACACAGTTCCAAAATCCTCATTAAAAGTAAATTTCAATATCAATTAAGAAGATCATTCACAATGACCAAAAATGTATCCCTGCATTGCAAGGATAGTTCAACATATGCAGCAGCTGTAAATATGATACAGTATACTAACAGAATAAAGGATAGAAATCACAGGATAATTTCAACAGATGCAGAAAAAGTATTTGATGGAATTCAGCAACTTCTCATGATAAAAATTCTCTACAAATTAAACATAGAAAAAATGTATCTCAACACAATAAAGGCCATATATGACAAACCAATAGTCAACATCATATTCAATGATGAAAAAACTGAAACTTTTCCTCTAACATCTTAAACAAAGCCAGGATGCCCACTCTTACCACTTCCATTCAACACATTATTATCTAGAGCAATTAGGCAAGGCAAAGAAATCAAAGGCATTCAAATTGGAAACAGTAAAAATGTCTCTGCAAGTAGTATGATCTTTTATATGGAACCCCTGAAGACTCTACAAAAACACTGTTAGAACTGGTAAATGAATTCAGCAAAGTGGCAGGACATAAACTCAACATAAATAAAATTAGTTGAAGTTGCATTTCTATACATTGACAATGAACTTTCTGGAACAGAAATTTAGGAAACAATCTCATTTTAATAGCATCAAAAAGAAGAAAATACACAGCAGCAACAGACTTGCATACTGAAAAATCATAAAAGGGTGATGAAAGAAATTAGAGCAAGTGCAATTAAAGGAAAGATACTTCATGTTCASGTATTGTAAGAATTAATACTGTTGACATGTCCATGCTACCTACAGATTGAATGCAATATCCATCAAAACTTCAATGTTATTTCTTACAGAAATAGGAAAAAAACAATTCTGAAATTCATATACAACCACTAAAGATTCTGAATAGCCAAAGCAATTTTGAGCAAGAAGAAAGCTGGAGACATCACACTTCCTGATTCCAAACATCTATTTCAAAGCCACTCTAATCAGAACAGTATGACACTAACATAAAATCAGATATATAGATCAATTGAACAGTCTTATATAAGTATGGACCAGTGATCTTTGGCAAGAGTGCCAAGACTGACCAATAGGAAAAAAAATAGTTTCTTCAGTAAGTGATGCTGCTTAAATGAAATATCAACTTACAAAATAAGGAAGCTAGTTTCTAATCTTACACCACACACAAAACCAAGTCAAACAGATTAAATATTGAAAGTGCAAACTGAGTTAAAAATAGATAAGCAAAACTAATTTAAACTTAAAAGTTTCTGCGGAGGATAGAAAACAATGAACACAATGAAAAAGCAACCTATGGCATGGTAGAAAAAATATGTGGAAAGCCTATATTTGAGAAAGAGTTAATGCAAAAATATGTAAGTAACCCACACAACCCAATAGTGAAAAAACCTGACTTAAAAATGGGCAAAGAATCAGAACAGACCTTTTTCTAAAGACAGGAAAATGGCCAACAGGTTCATGAAAATGTACTCAATTACCCTCGTTATCAGGGGAATGCAGATAAAACAAAAGTGAGGTATAGTCCTACTCCTACTAAGATGGATATAATAAAAAAGTATTTTAAAAACTGAAGGTAACATTGATAGTGACAATATGGAGAACAGCAAATACTGTACCATTGGTGGGGCCATTATAGTGATTCCTCAAAAAATTAAAAGTAAAACCAATTCCTCTTCTAACTATATACTCAAAAGAAAGGAAATCAGCACTTTGTTGAGATATTTCCTCTTCCATGTTCAATGCAGCATTATTAACAATAGCTAAGATAAGGAAACAACCTCACTGTCGGTTGACAAATTGCAAGATAGAAATTGGGGTGTGTGTACATAAATATATATATTTATATATATATGCCTATACGCACATATACACACACACATAAACATACATACATAAAATGAAATGAAATGTCATTCAGCCTTAAAAAAATGATCTCTTGCCACTTGCAATAACATGGATAAACCCAAAAGGCATTATGGTAAGTGAAATAAGTCAGACACAGAAATAAAAATGCTTCATGATATCTTGTATTTGGAATCCTGAAAGGAAAACAAAAGGCAAATACATAGAGAAAGAGGGGTGCTTACTAGAGGTAAGGGAGGGGGCAATAGGTACACATAGGTCAAAGGGCACAAAGTTATAATTACATATGATGAATAAATCTAGGGATTTAATGTACAACAGGGGGACCATAATTAATAAGGTACATAACCGAAAATTGCTAAGAGTAGACTTTTGGTGCTCTGAGGACACACAAAAAAGATAACTATGTAAAATGATGACTTTTAATTGGATTGATTATAGTAATTATTGTTATATATGTGTATATCTATGTATGTGTATATATTTATGTAAGTATGTGTATATATACATATGTGTGTGTGTGTATATATATATATATATCACTTTTCTAAACCTGTATATTGTTGAAAACAATACAAAAAATTCTTAATTGGCTGTATGTATGCCAGATTATTATTATTTTACTTTATTATTATTCTACTTTTTCTGCATGTCTTTTCTTTTACAGATTTTGTTTTAAAATTTTCAAAAATTTATGGCATGTACATCTGTGTCATATTTATGAACTAAATATATATACCCTATGTTTTGGTATAAATTATTTTTAATTATTTTCTGACTTCTCCTGGTAATTCTTTATTTATTCTTCAGTTACTAAAAGACATATTTTTATTAACGTATTACATTTTTATTTCCAAAAGAATGAGAGTTAGCAGGGATGAAAGGGTACACAAAAGGAGTGCACTGTGGGTGGGGAGGAAAAGTTAAATTTTTTCTTCTGATTTCCAATTTTCTACACTTTCCCAGAGGAATATGTTGAATATTGCTTCTTTAAAATAGGAGGGTCTTTCCTTGAGATCTAGTATGTAACTAATATTGTATAAACACGCATGTATGATAAGTACATAAAGTATGTATTTTTATGGCAAGCTTGGCTAAATATAGTTTTTGCTCTTAAAATCTCTTAAGTTTTTCTTTGTACATTTCTATGTATCATATGTATTACAAAAAAAATATGTCTTAATATCATGCATAATTGCTTTTCTCTTTATCTTAACTCACAGGAGTGTATCAAAGGGAATTCAGTGCTTACCAATTTGCTTTCTGTACTGATCAACAGGAAGTTTTATAGTGGAAGCATCTTTTCTACCCATCTTTGATCTCCAAAATGCCTGCTGAAAAGAAAGAAAACAATTATAATGAAATCCTTAAAAAGACTATCTACAAACTTCAGGAATAATTTATTCCTTAAAATTCATCTTTAAAGCAATGGGTAAAAATGACTTTGACTTATTTCCATTAGATATCCATAAAGAACACAAAATTCTTTCAAATAAATTATCAAGGATACAATTGCTGGTAATTAAATTTTCCAATTATTTGTTCTTGGAAACATTTATTTTATCAAGAAATATCAATGCTCAATTAAACCACACTGTTAGATACTATTATCTGTAAATGTGAAAATCACATAGTATTTATTCAAATGGGCTGGGGCTACATGCTTGCTCTTGGTCACATGTTTTGTACAATTACCTACTGCATTGCACAAGATAAGAAGGCAAAAGTTTGAATTTCAGGAAATTTGTATTCTGTTTGTAGACAAAATGGATGACTTAGGTTCTAGTGGTGTCCATCTTAATGTAAACAATAAGGATACTACCATTTATTTATATTTTGTATACTATATATACTGTTTCATTAATCCTCAATATTATCTTTCAAATCCTACTATTTCTGTTTAATTTATTATATTTAAATAAAGATTATAATCTGCTCACCAAATGTGTATTCCAATTTCTTGCTTGCACAATTAGACAATATTTCTTAGCCTAAATTCAAGTATAAAATTGAGTTTTTCCTAAAAAAATTTGAATGGAAATGATATGCATCACTTTCAAACTTTAGCATGAAAATCTCTCAAGCATAATTCTGCATCCTTTTTCCCCTTCTAATAGGCTCAAGTGGAAATGAACTCCAGATATCTCCAAGTTATATTTGTAGAAACAGAAATTTGGTCAGACTGAGTGGGAATGGAGAAGAGTATTCTCATGAATTTCTCTATCACTTGTAGTAGTAGTAAGCTTTTTACTGCTATGATCAAAATACCTGACAAGAACAACTCAGAGTAAGAAAATTTACTTGGGCTCATAGTTTCAAAGGTTCAGTTCATAGTCAGTTGATTCCATTGCTCTGGGCCTGAGATAAGGCTGATCATCATGGTGGAAGGGGATGGTGGAGACATAGCAGCTGGGAAGCAGAGAGAATGCAAAGAGCCAGGGACAAAATATAATCCCCAAGGGCACACCCCCTCCCACCTATTTCCTCCAGCCATATTGTAACTGCCTACAGTGCCCACCCAGAAATAAATTCAAATTATTAACACATCAAATGTATTAACCCACTGGTTGGGTTACAGCTCTTATTAATCTAATCAATTTACTTTCAATCATCTCTGCATTGCCATATGAACTTTTCTGGGGTCATCTCACATCCAAATCATAATACCACCCTATTATCCCACTTATGAGAAAGGAACAAAATTCAATTGTAATTGAGTTCTTATACATCTGTGGGTTTTATTCATTACAGATATAAGTTTTGCTAAAATAATATCAACATTGGTGCAAGAGAAGTTGTTCTTCACTGCATTTAGTTAAGGTGCTATAAGGAGAAGATAAAGTGAGGCAAGAACTGCTCAGCTCACAAACAAAAATATTAAGAAATAGAAAGTCCAGTAAATTGGGGACTAATGAGATGGTAATGCTAATTGCTAAAAACAAAACAGCAAGAAATAAAACTGAAAAAGACTTTGAAAAATAAAAAACATATTAAAATTTCTCAGCTCAAAACAGAAAGAGAAGGGGTGACAGACAGACAGAAACAAAGATTAAGGATGTTACTGTCTAAACTGAGCCTATTCAAATTACTTACAAGTAGACTTCTTGGGTAAAAACAGAGAATCACAGGATAGAAACAAAGCATAGAAACAAAGCTTAGGTTGAGAATTATATGTATAAAAGAAATTAGCATACAATTATTGGTACAAGGAGCTCACTAAAAATGGTAAGAAGCTTTGCAATATTTGAGGGAACTACATTTATCAAGAAAGCAAAAACTTCATTTAAAAAGGTCTAAAAGTAAAAACCAATGCTTGGGTCTTTATATTTAAAACAGAATTATAAAGAAGAAAAATGAAGGAGTTCCTCTGAAAGGATCATAATTGGGGTCTAAGCAAGAATCTTCTTTTGGTGAGGCTGGAAAAGGGTGAGTAAATTTCATGGTCTATAAACCTCAAGTAACCACATCCTAACTTGAGAAGACTGTGCATTATYAGCTTTAGATTCTTGGTTTTGAACTGGATGCAGTAAGTTATAAACTCTATCAAGTTTTCTCTTACTGAGGAGGCAGGGAAAAGGACGTACATGGCTATTTTAGGGCCAGAAAGGTCAAATATCATAAAAATTTTTGGTTGCTCACAAAAATACATGCTTTTCTTTTTTTTTCCAGGCATATTTGGCTACACTTGCCAGCTTCCTCTCACTAGTTGTGGGCACATCACTGATTTCAGCCAATAGAATGTGAATAAATTGCTTCCTACTTCCAGAACTGACATAAATTTTTTTCATGTATACTAATTTATCTGGTTGAGATGAGAATGGATTAAGAAATGACATAATGAGGATGGAGACTCTGTGACAGCCTGGATTTGGAATGAGTGCATGGAGGAAAGCTCTCCAACCAACTTATTTTTCACTTTCATACTTTTTTGAGAACAAGAAATAAACTTGCAGCATTTGAGCCACTATACATTTCTTACATCTACTTGTTAAAGCAGTTGGTATTACTTCAACTAAAACAAACAGGTAGAGATCTCTCCATATAAATGGATGCAATTATCAAATTGCAAGTATTTTAATAAGCATTATTAAGGTTCTAAAACACCAAGTGCATTTGAAATCTGTTCAGATCAAACTGTATTTTATGTGTGTGTGTGTGTGTGTGTATTTATATTCTCACAGAGATAGCTAAAATGATTCCATATAACACAGTAAAAGGCATCTCTAATTTAATAATTTCTATTTACATGGAAGAAAATTATTAAATTCACCTAAAACCTATCTTTCTAATCATAATAATATTCAGATTTATAGTATTAAAGCAATATCTGGGAATATAAATATATTAAAAAATTACAGAAAAAAATTAAGACTTCCACTCTAATAAACCATTTAATTTTTCACGTAAGATAACAGATTTCTTAAATTTTATAAATAAAACCAAGGTATCTCTAATCCTATAGTTACTTGTTATAATTCAAAACATTCAAAATAATTGTCAAGACAAGCACCATAAATAATGTTCATAGATATATTATAATTTATTCATATAGAAAATCCATTTGCATAGTGATTTTGCATTTATTAATTGTGAGTTGTTATTTTTATCTTAATTGTGTGAGCTATAAAGGATATCACTCAATTTATGAGAGAAGTTAATTTATACAAATAAATACACAAGATAATATCCCTTTTTCAGTATAGTTTTGTTTTTTATCCTTATGGAATATGTGTAAAAAGAAAAAAAAAAAGAAAATCGGGTTACTAAAAGCTATCTGCCAAGATGGCTACTCTGAATTTCCTTCCTGATCATTTAAACCAACATCCCAGGAAGAGTTAACAATTTAGTGGCCAGTATTTTATTCATTCATTGCCTGTAGTAAATAAAAAGTAAGGGGTCAATTGAGAATATCTCTTCACTAAAGGAAACTGAATTTCACTAATTTGTAAATGTGCTCTGTATGACAAAAATAGCAAAGTATTTAAATTTTTATCAGGGCCTGTGCTCTATAAACAGACACATTTTATAGGTATAATAGTCTCTGAATATAAAAACTTTAAAACAATTTCCACCAAGGAAATATATTATCAATTGATTTTCAATTTTTATTCTTAATTATTTAAAGATTGTTAATAATCAAAAATTTAAAACTTTTAACTTTTACTATTGTTTCTGAAATTATATCCAATTATTTATATAAGCAAAATCATTTCACCAAATTATAAAACAAAAAACATCTATAGAATGCACACTTTAAAAAAACTTACATTTAGTTAGTTGTAACAAACACAAGAAAGTGAAAAATATTTTAGTTTACTAATAAACACATTGAGGCTATTTTAAATTACCTCAATAAAGAGATACCCATTCAYCTGTATGGTTCAAACTGTCAATGCCTCATATATCTAGAACCTCTAAAATGTCCTGACTTTTCTTTGTTCTTCAAAGTCTTGCAGTAATCATCATTCATTTCTATTGCTTTGATGGTTAGATAGAAAACTCCCAAGAAATCCAGGGAGACATTAGCAATTTCTAATAAGACAGCTATTTGCATACAAGATCAGCCACAATTTAAAATGTGTTGTGATAGATGCGGAAAGGGAATAACAGATTTATATTAGCATGTACAATACCAAGATTGTTTTCACAATTTAATTCCTTAGAGATTATGTCTCATCACTTCCTTTTATAAAGAACACTACATTCCCTGAGGAGATAACTTGCTCTGAGRCCCAGCTAAACTAAAATATGGATTAATAAGATAGTATTTATTATTTATGAATTTTGCTGTAGGAATTATTTCAGATTAAATCATCAGAGAAGTTTTTAACATTCTTGAAATTTGATAACACATACTTAAGGAAGAAAGAATGCTAATTTTATTTAATGCCTAAATTGTATATTAAAATAATTCATCATTAATTTTTTCATTAATTAAAACTTTACACTCTAGAACTTTTAAGATTTAAGATATCTTTGTTCTTAATATGCTTTCTTAACCTGAATTTAACATAACAATTTTGCCACATGTAATTTTCAGCAAAATATGTGACCTTTTAAAACAAACAAATGTATTATTATATTCAATCACATTCCATCCAAGTCATTTTATTGCTCATTTATACCTTTTTTATGAAATCCAGAAAGAACAAGTAAAGAAATAAGAAACCCAAAGCCTTCACATATGTCTCTGCTTCCAGAAAAAGCATTAAATCCAGACTGTGACATTTAAATATATATCAAAACACAGGTTATTAAAAGATTCAACCCATGACCATGGAAAAAATAATTATCTCAGTTTTTAAAGCTAAGAGAAGAACCCTTACCTAAGAAA